CTGCTCCTATGATGCTGCTTGGCCTGCTGTGTTCATCCAGCCTTGCACCTTGTTGTCTCCTACATTATAGCGTAGGGTTCTAAACCCACAATTGTTCTCTTCTGCTTACTCCCATTGTATATTGTCTAATTACAAGAAATGGTGTCTTATTTACAGGAAACAGCAGACCAGTAAAAGCAGCAAGGAACATTATTTTCCACAAAAATATCGTTTTCTTAACCCTGGTCCTAACCCTGTTTTGGATGCTCCATTATGAATTAAAATACTGAAATCCTGGAAAGCACATATTTGACAGGGGCTGGAAAATAGAGTTTCTTTGAAATACTGGAACTCTCGCTCTCTCGTTGGGGACCAGAGAAGGCCAAGACACGATTCCATTCAAATTCTTAAAATTATGAAGGAGTTTTAAATTGGAAAAGAACGCTTTCCCTTTGTGCGGAGAGTGCGGAATGTCTTATCTCGAATGCAAGAGCTTAAATCCCTATCCATAAACATGCCACTTGTCAGGGCAAAAAGATTTAACTTGCGTTTTATCTTTGGTGCAAAGAGCTAATTTCATGCCAGGCAGTTAGTAAAATCCAACTTTTCCCCAATTCCCCAATTATGTAAACAGCTCATCCAAGAAAATAAATAAAACTAGCAAAGCTATGATCTAAACTATGTTACCATTGGCATCGAGCTGTAGTTGCTGTACAACTTCTTTCATTCCCGTGGGAAGTACACTGGAGTAAACTGCATTAAGAGCTTTTGCCCCTGCCTCCAGTTGAGCACATACCAACTCTATAGGTTAAAAAAAAAAACAAGCCATCATCAACTGCAACTTATAATCACATAAATGGAACCAACTCTACATCTATACAGACCCTTTATTTTTAAATATCTATAGAATCCATATAAAAATCAGGCATCTTTTATTGCTGTGTATTTATAACTAATATTATTCATGCTTTCCAAGAATTTAAACATAAAATTAGGTTTCCAAGTCATACTCTTACACATATTTTATATAAAGTAAACACAAGAATGTGCAATGATAATTATGAAGCAATCTAATTAATCGATATAAAAGTGAGATACACATCAAAAGCTACACTTTTACCATAACGGGGCACAATCTTGCGCACAAGCAGGTATTACCCTGTCAAATGGCACTTGTTTTTATTCTTTCATTGGATGCAAGCATCAGTAATAAAGCCAACATTTGCTGTTCACCACTTTTTCTCAAGGGAACTTAAGGGTGAGCAACCTGTTGTCTTTTTTAAAAATCATTGTAGTATGGTGCTATTAGAGGGATTTTTAAGTTTGTGCATCACTTAATGACCCCAGTAATGTAAAAAGTCACTACGTGAATGATTTCACTAACAGGCATGACTGAATTGTACAATCAGATTTAAATATTTGAATATAGACAAAAAAAAAAACTGCAGATGCTGAAATCCAAGGGAGACAAACAGGAGGCTGGAAGAACACAGCAAGCCAGGCAGCATCTGGAGGAAAGGAGAAGTCAATGTTTCAGGTATTACTTCAGGACTTGCTTACTGTGTTCATCCAGTGTCCGGTTTGTCTACCTTAAATATTTGAACACTAGTAACAAAACTCCACCTGGTAAATGCTTGTAGACTTTTGCTGCGTGGCACAACCATCGGGCCCTTAATAGCCAATCTTGATTAGATGCTTTCTCCATGACCAGCCTGATAGCAGCAGGAATCATTGAGAGCTCATCAGTCGCTTGAACTGCTGTCTTATTGTCATGGAATACAAGACTGTCCATATTAGAGGATTGCAAAACTAACTCAAGATCAGTCAGAGTTAGAGGTCGAGATCTGAATAAGTGAAGAGAGAGAACATCCTTTACAGACACCATAGGATTCATTGCGACAAACATTTGTTTACTTCTGAAAATAACTGGTGCTATGGAATAAACACAAACCTTTGAGGATATTGATTCTTGCAAGCTGCTCTTCCTTTTCTTTCGTCCCCAGTCTGCCTGCTATGCTCAATTTATTCTCAGTCTCTCATTCCTACACTTTTCTATCACTGGCTCATCCTTGTGGTGGCTGCTCTCTTAGGTTTTCATTCGCTTTCTGTAGGTAGAACTTTTCTGAACTGATATAGGTTCACCTGTCAGAAAATTTGGGTTGTCTGAAAAAGTCTTCTTTAGGCATAAATTTAGTGGTAAAATCAGAAGAGCCAATTGGAGACCTAAAAAGAATTCACACATAGAGGCGGGGAACATCAGTCTTTGCAAAAAGAGGAGGATGCTGCCCAAGCCGTAGTGACAGAGGAGGAAACTCTATCACCAGAAGGGTTCAGAATTTCAAGGAAGAAGTGTTAGATAGACTGTTGGTAAAGTTGAAAAGACACTGGAACCGGAAAAAACACATCCAAGGATTTAGAAGAAAGTCAAAGTGGGAATTGAAGAGGCATAGTTCATAAATTTTCTGGCATCTCTGAAAAAGACTGAAGACCAGAGAACTGAAAACATTACGGCCTTGTTCAAGAAGAACTGTAAAGAAAAGCACAGCAATTACGGTCCAGTCAGTTCAACTTCAGTGTTGAGGAAGCTTCTGACAAAAATTTTTCAGGATAGAATTAGCAGTTACATGGTAAATGTTGGTTGATTAGGGAAAGTCAGCACAGATTGCTGAAGGGCGAAAATTGTTCTTGACTAACTTGGAGTTTTTTTTTGAAGAGATAACAGAATGGCTTGATGAGGGTAATGTTGATGTGGCGCATGTGGATTTTCAAAAGATGTTTGATTCAGAGCCACACAACAGACTTGTGAGGAAAGATAAAGATCATGGAATAAAAGAGTCAGCAGCAAAATTGATACAAAATTGGCTGAATGATAGGTGACAGCATAATCGTTATGAGTATTTTGTAGTGCAGCTCCTCAGAGGTCAGTTTTGGGGCCCTTGCTTTTCCTGATAATATATTAATGACTGGACCTCGGAGGAGACAAGAGACAACTTCAAAGTTTGCAGATGACATGAAACTTGGAAAACTTGGTAAACTGTTGGGAGGAAAGCATCAAATTCCAAAAGGACATAGACAAGTTGGTGATGTGGGTGATAGGTGGCATTTAATGTTCATTGCAGAGAAATATGAGGTGATGCACGTTAGTAAGAAAAGCTCTGAAAGACAAGAAAAAAAAGGGGTGCAATTCTAAGGGGTATATAGTTAGGAGCAGAGAAACCTGGACGTGTATGTAGCTAGGTCATTGAAGGTGGAGAAAACAGTAAATAAAGTGTGCAGTGTCCTCAGCTTTATTACTAGAGGCAGAGAGTACAAGAACAAGGAGGTGATGTTGTACTTGTACAAGACACTTGTTTAAACTCAGCTGCAGTGCTGTATACAGCTGTGGGCATCACATTATAGGAAGGCAGTGAATGCACTGGAGAGAGCACAGGCGCAATTTACAAGAATAGTTCCAGAAATGAGATACTTCAGCTATTGATTGATTGCAGTTGGGACTGTTCTCCATGGAGAGAAGATGGTGGTTAAGAGGAGATCTGATAGAGGTTTTCGAAATTACAAGCATGCTGGATAGATAGGAAGAGCTGGAGAAGTGCTATTAGGTGCAAATTGTTCCAGTACAGACCTGGTAGACAAAATCTGCCCAAATAATATCTCCAAGTATCTACTGAAACTCCAACTGGCCATAATGCATTGAATGCTCTTGTCACTATGTAAATTTAGACCTACATTGGGACAAATCTCCAGTCTCTGGCAAAGCAACATGATAGAAGCAAAATTATTATTACCTGGACTCAAACCAACCAACAAAACAGCCAAGATTTAATTAAATGCAAAAGATTGTATTAGTGATCCTCAGTCATATTTCCATATGAAGTGTGAATCTGTCAATCTAGGTTAAACTGCTATTCTGCAGCAAAGTTTTATCTCAAAGCAAGAGTTGGCTCGACTACATACCTCTCCTTTTATATGCAATTTCTCCAATGACACCAAAAAAATAGTGTTATCCTCTGAATGTTTTTGTTGGGAAAGAACCTTTCATTATATTTGTTGTTGTGATGGGGAGGCTGTTTTAATGGGATTACATTCATGGATGTCATACAGTAATACAGCACAGAAAGAGACCCTTCGGTCCAAATGATACATGTCGAACATAATCCCAAACTAAACTAGTTCCACTTACCATACGCTTGGTCCACATCCCTCCAAGCATTTCTTATTCATGTACTTATCTAAATATCTTTCAAATGTTGTAACTGTAACCGCATCTGCCACTTCCTCTGGAAGTTCACTCCACATGTGAACCACTATGTAAAAAAAAAATTGCCCCTCATGTCTTTTTGTTTTAATCTTTCTCCTCTCACCTTAAAAATATGCCCCTTAATCTTGAAATCCCCCACCCTAGGGAAAACAAACAGCTGCTATTCACCTTACCTAATTAAGGCTGACAAAATTGAAGCCTACAGTAGGATACAGGTATTTCTGCTAGAACGCTTATCTCGTTAACACAAATTGGCAGTAATGCGATTGATGAACAGCAGATGCTATTTTGATAACACAAACTTTCTGCTGTACAGGTACACTGATTTTGTGTAGCGCGATTTTCTATAGCACAGTGTTATGCAAGAACGCAACTATTGCGTTATAGGATAACTACCTAAAATTGAACACACAGCCCAACTGGTATCTGCCACCATTTCTGCTGGATTAGAATCTGTTCCCATCCTACTTGATCTAATGCTAGCAACACACACTTCTTTTTTCTTCCATCCTGTTATCGTACTTCTGCTGGGATTCATCTTTGCAATTTGCCTCAATAATTCCAAGTGGATATTTTTCTCATTTTTGTACAAATAATTTTTCTCTACTCAAGTTTCTCTCAATGAGCTAAAATGCAATGACCTTTCTGTATTATTTTTCACAGAATTCATAGAATCCTTACAGTGTGGAAACAGGCCCTTTGGCCCAACAAATCCACACCTCCCCTCACAGCATCCCACCCAGACCCATCTCCCTAGAACCCACCTATTCTGTACATCCCTGAACACTACAAGCAATTTAACATAGCAAATCCACCTAATCTGCACATCTATGGACTGTGGGAGGAAACCGGAGCACCCGGAGGAAACCCATGCAGACACGGGGAGAATGTGCAAACTCCACACAGACAGTCACCCGAAGGTGGAACTGAACCTGGGCCCTTGGCACCGTGAGGCAGCAGTGCTACCCACTGAGCCACCGTGCCGCCCCGTTATCCAGATGTTTTTCATTAAGTACAACGTGACTTGCAGATTGCCAAAAGACTTTCATGCAGAACTCCTTGGTGGAACTCCAATGGGTTTTATCTAGGTATGAGAGGCCCATAAGTAGTAGGAACAGGAGTAGGCCCCTCGAGTCTGCTTTGCCATTCAATAGGATTGGGGTCAGTTCTGCAATTGCCTTCCACCTGAATCAGGTTACTTTACTGTTTAAGGTGATGTAAAGGGGAGGTGATGACATTGTAGTCATGTCACTGGATTAGTAATACACAGAATCCCAGGCTAATTCTCTGGGGATCGAAGACAAAGTGTTGGAGAAACTCAGCAGGACTGGCAGCAATCAGTCGAGAGAAAAGTCCAGTGATCCTTTCTCAGAACTGTCTGCAATTGAGGAGTGGTGGTATTACAGACAGACGGGCAGGGAGACAGACATGCCTGCTGATAGTGAGCCAGGGAAGAAGTAAAAAAGTAACCTCAGCTGGTGTGTGAAATGAAACCACGCTGTTGGTGTGACATTGCATCGCAAACCAGCCACCCAGCCAAATGAGCTAAACTGACCCCTAGAATAAAGTAAACGCTGAATAGGTCATAATGTTTTGGGGACACTGATGTGAATCCCATCATGGCAAATGGTGAAATTGGAATTCAATTGTAAGAGTCTGGAATGGATGACTAGTCAATTGGCAAGCATGCAACCACTGTCAATTGTCACAAAAACCTATCTGGTTTACTGCTGTCCTTTAAGGAAATCTCCGATCTTTGCCTTGTCTGGCCAACATGTGACTGCAGCACCACGGGTGACTCTTAGCTGCCCTGTGAGAAATAGCCTAGAGAGTTAATCAGTGCAAGGGCAACTGGGAATGCACAACAAATGTCAGCCTTGCATGTACAAGAATAAATAAAAACTTCTAATGAGCTGAGTAGATATGAAGTAACCTTCATTTTTGGCAAGTGACAGCAAATAGTAAGGTATATAAGGTATACATGAAAGGGATTTAAATAACGATGCCAAGTAAGATTACAATATGTATTGGCATCAATTCAATTATAGCAAACTAACTACGTCAAAATAACTTGGTCTTTCCCCAAATGCCTTCAGCCCACCTGTTATTGCTTAGGCTCAGTTGGTTTAAACAGTAGGCCAGGACCTGTCCGTCTCGATGAACCATGGACAACATGGATTCCTCTGCGGTAAACACTGCCGATGGAATAGAATCCGGCCACAATCCCAAAGAGACCAAAGAATCACCCCAGGACTCACATGACATCAATTTAAGTTTGTGCTTTTCCACTAGCTCTCGTACTTGCTGTAACACAAAAGTTGATATAAAATATAATCTTATTAAATATCCTGAATGTCATATAAAGTGCTTTTACTTACAGCCAAGGCAGAAAAACTAAAAAGGTAGTTTCACAGAAGAAGATCTGTTTACAATAATTTTAAAATGACTTAACAAGTATCTGCCAGGTTGTGCATGATTCAATCCAACAGCATGCATGATAGCTCACTGTCTGTCAACATAAAATATACATGCACATAACTTCTTTCAGCACAAAGTAAGAACTTGTGAACTCCTTTCAGAAAAAAAGTCCTTAACCCTCACCTCTTGTTGAGTTTGAGAAGACTGTGAAAGGACGAAGACTTGCGTGCAAGCTTGATGGAATGCCTCTGCCAAGCTGAGACCACGCTTCAGCTGGTGAACGATGAGGACGGCACAGTGGAGAAGTGAAGAGATGGAGTAAGAAGTGCCTTTAGTAAAGAAAAGGAGAAACAGCTTAAGTGGCAAATCAGAAGCATGCAGTCAATAATCTTTCACAAATCCTCAAACTGGAGTGACCATAACCAAACATTTTACATTTACAGCTCTAATAAAACCCAAATGTAATAAAAGTTGAGCAACTGGGCAATCTGTAAAGTTTCAATTCAACATGAAAACACACCAGTTCTTGTCAGATAATGTAGCTGGAACCACAGTTTATCAAGAAAATGTCAATGATTGTTTTAACATATTCAATTTACCTGCTGTAATTTCCTTTACTTCTGAATACAATGTCATCAACTCAGTGCACATTTGGTCTCCCACAAAACCAAGACCATGTAACAGTGTTTTAACGTCCTGTTTATCTAAAGGGTCAGCACTGTGTTCACCTGCAACATAAATCTCAATCCCACGATTTCTCATGGCCCGAGAGATTTCCCCATGTGCCGGATCCATGGTCATAAAGAGCCTATTTTTAAATTAAAAAAAAAACAGCTAAACATGAAAATTGAAAATAGCATTCGTCAATTGTTATCATTTGGACGTTCTTACGGTCCATAACTGAACTAAACCAAAGTGATCTTAAAAGAAATTTGTGAGCTGAGTTCAACAGGAGAATGTAGTAGCAAATCTTAAGACAAATTGCTCTTCTATGTTTGAGGCAGGAGATAATTGCATGAATTAGAGACTTAAGATGGACAGGCAATGAGAAAGAAAGAAGGAAGAAAAATATTTTTAACTGGAGGATTGGACAAGGATGGACAGGAATGAAAGGCACATCGGTAGAATTTTGATTTGGCCCAATTCTTTCAACTTAAAAAATATTGAATACATTAAATTATTAGATGTACAGAACTCCATACAAGAAACGTGGAGGTGGAAAAGCACAGCAGGTCAGACAGTATCCAAGGAGCAGGAAATTCAACGTTTTGGGCCGAAACTTTTCATCATGACGCAGGGGTTTAGCCTGAAATGTTAACATTCCTGCTCCTCGGATGCTGTCTGCCCTGCTGTGCTCTTCCAGTTCCACATTTATTGACTCTAGAATCCAACATCTGCAGTCCTTACCAGCTCCATACAAGAAACCACAGTTTAAAACAGAAGTTTACACAGTAATGTACTAAAACCAACCACGTTAATGCCTAAAAGGATGTTTGGGCAATTGAAACATAGGGTCTTCTACTGGATTTTGAACTGATTGTCTCAACTTGTCTGTATGTTAAAATTAATTGTACATTAAATTGCATTTAACTTTAGGCAAGTAATATACATCACTTGTGAGATCAGTCGTGCCTCCTACAAAAATACAAACTGCCCCTGTGATTGCACAAATAAATGTTTTGTAAGAAGCGTAGATAGGTTAGGTCCACTAATAATACAGACCGTCAGTAAGATACACCAGTAAACGTAGGCTAAAACATCTGGGAATAATCACAAATCTGCGCCTTTTTCCAGTAGTGAACTCTGGAGTGGTGGTGGCTGAGGGGAGACTTGACAGAAGTCTATAAAATTATGAGATGCATAGATTGGGAAAAAAATTCTGACCATTAACCCCAAAGTTGAAATGTCTAATACTTGGAGGCATGCATTTAAGGTGCAAGTGTGGCAGGAGTCTAGAACGTGCTGCGAGGGGTGGTGGTGGAGGTAGGTATGACGGGGCACTTAAGGGATTTTTAGATAAGCATAGGAATATGCAAGAAATGGAGGGATATGGACCAAGGACAGACAGTAAGGATTAGTTTAATTTGGCATCATGTTCAGCACAACATTGTGGGCTAAGGGGCTGTACAGTTCGATGTTACCAAAACCCAAAACTCTTTCACAGCATACCTGAAGTTTGGGTGTGGAACAATAGTTGGGGTGGTGCCATCAATCACTCCTCTTTCACTAACAGTAAGCACTCCTCCAGGTTCCAAAAGAGCATTTAGACGATCAAGCACAGAAGGACTAAATTAAAAAAATGTGTAAAAAGTATTACATGATTAGCAAATAGTTAAATACACATTTTATCCCAACAGTCTCTTCTATGCACCAGTAAAACCAATCCTCTTGCTGCTACATTTACAGCAGCTGTCGACTCCTGGACTATTGATACTGTGATAACAAATGTGAATATGAAAAGAAATGAGGTCCATTTTCCCTAAATTTTACACAAGCACTGAGGAGTTAATTCAAGGACACAACATTGATAAACAAAAGGTTCAGAATCTACAAAATTAGAGCAGTGTAATGTAATTTCCAGATAATCATCTTACCTGCAGAAGTTAACATTGTCCAGTAGCAGCCAGTCACCAGAATTCAAAGCCTGAACAAGCATCCCATCCACCCACTCAAAAGTGCCACGATTTTGGCCGTCCAAGGATTCACTGCGTCGGTGCTTAAAATGTTGGAATTCTGAGATCAATTCCGAAAATTCTGAAGCACACAAGAAAGAAACAGAACATTTCTAGCAAACATAATCAAAACAAAACAAGACTTAGATAAAAAAGGAAGCAAATTAACATATCACAATACATTTATTAAATGCTGACCTTTATTAAAAGCCCTCCTACCACACCCAACACAAATTAAAAGGTGAGATTCACGATGACCTCTTCCACATATGATCACATATGACCACAGTGCCATTGCCCAGTTTAGGTTCTGCCAGGGGCACTCAGCTCCTGACCACATTACAGCCTTGGTTCAAAAAAATGGACAAAAGTGCTGAATTCCAGAGGGGAGATGAGAGTGACATCAAGTGAGCACATGAGATCAAGGCTGCTTTCAACTGAGTGTGGCATCAAGGAGCACTCACAAAACTGGAATCAATGAGTATCAGGGAGCAAACTCTCCACTGGTTGGAGTCATACCTGACACATAGGAAAATGGTCGTGGTTGTTGAAAGTCAGTCATCTCAGCTCCAGGACATCTCTGCAGGAGTTCCTCAGGACAGTGTCATAGGCCCAATCATCTACAGCTGCTTCATCAACGACCTTCCGTCCTTCAGAAGTGGGGATGTTTACTGATGATTGCACAATGTTCAGTCCCATTCGCAACACCTCAGATACTGAAGGAGTCCACGTTCAAATGCAACAAGATCTGGACAATATCCAGGCTTGGGCTGACAAGTGGCAAACAATGTTCACGCCTCACAAATATCAGGCTATGATCATCACCAGTAAGAGATAATCTGACCAGCAGCCCATGACATTCAAAGGTGATACCATCACTGAATCCCCCACTATTAACATGCTGGAGTTATCATTGACCAGAAACTCAACTGGACTCACCACATGGCTACAAGAACAGGTCAGAGGCTAGGAATGCTGCAGCAAGTAACTCACCTCCTGAGCCCCCCAAGCCTGTCCACCATCTGCAAGGTACATCAGGAGTGTGATGGAATACTCCTCACTTGTCTGGATGGGTGCAGCCCCAACAACACTCGAAGCTAGACCCCAACCAGGACAAAGCAGCCTGCATGATTGGCAACACATCCACAAACATCCACTCTCTCCAGCAGTGAAGCTCGGTACACACTGCTGCTACTATCTACAATATGCACTGCAGAAATTCACCAAAGATCCTCTGACAGCGCCTTCGAAGCCCACACTTTGATCTAGAAGGACAAGGGCAGCAGATACATGGGAACACCACCACCTTCAAGTTCCCCTCAAAGACACTCACCATCCTGACTTGGAAATATATCGCTGTTCCTTCACGGTCGCTGATTCGAAATCCTAGAATTCCCTCCCTAAGGCCATTATGGGTCAACCCACAGCATATGGACTGCAGTGGTTCAAGAAGGAAGCTCACCACCACCTTCTCAAGGGCAATTAGGTACGGGCAATAAAAGCTGGCCAGCCAGTGATGCCAACATCCAACAGATGAATCAATTAAAAAAAAAGCTTGAAGTGATCAATAAGATACCCTCTAACATCCATAATGTGTCACTCCAGATTAATGACGACCACGTGCAAGGTATTGGAAGGCAAAATCAGTGGAAGCCAGAATCGCCAAAAGCAATCAACAACTTTGAAATCAGAATTGGGAATATCTTCATAACAAAGAATGCGTTTAAATCTATTCAACCAAAACATGAGCTGTATAAATAATATTCTGTAATTTGAATTACTTAATTTGGGCCAACATCTCTAAAGATATTTCATAACCATAGAATCCCTATAGTGTGGAAACAGGCCATTCAGCCCATCAAGTTCACACCGACCCCTCTCTCCCCTTCCCTCCCCCTCCCACCACCCCCGCTGCATCCTATCCCTGTAACCCTGCATTTCCCAAAGCTAATCCTCCTAGCTTGCAAATACTTGGATATTATGGGCAATTTAGCATGGCCAATCCACCTAATCTGCAGATCTTTGACTGCGGGAGGAAACCAGAGTACACGGGGGAAATTTACACAGACACAGGGAGAATGTGCAAACTCCACACAGACAGTCGCTGGAGGGAGGAATTGAACCCAGGTCCCTGGTGCTGTGAGGCAGCAGCACTAACCACTGAGCCAGTGTCCCCCCAATTTTAGGTACTAAGAAAGTCAAATACGTTATTTTGCAAAACAAATCACATCCTCGCATTTTAGAAATATCTCATGAAACGCATACCTGCAGGTGACAGAGTGTTCACTTTGTTGTTAAAACGCTGGAGGAGAATAAGTAAATTCTCCAGTTTGTTCACTGCATCAGAAGAAATGGCAGAATCACAGTCTTCATTCAGGCAACACGAATGACTGAGAAGGAATGAATTCCAGAATTTGAGAAGAACACCATCATCAGGGCCAGAGTCCATGGAGAGCAGAACATCTCTGGTGATAGCACTGACAACATCTTTCACCTTTCCAACTAAACGCTGCCATGGACGTGTAATATCAACCTGCAAAATGCACATGACACCAGTTGATATGGTTTTCTCCACCCTCTCTATCTTCAATATTTCAGGTCGAGTTGAAAGAAAGAGGGCATTCACCATTACACTTTTTTAAATTCAAAACAGACATTAATTATGCATATTAATAGATTGTCACTTGGTATTATAGAACTTGAGTATCACTGGAAAAAAAAGACGCGCTTGAACTTGATGAGTACAAGCCAAAAAAAAAGTTTGACAGCTGGTCTCTTTCTTCTTCAACTATAGCCATATTAACAAAAAGCAACAAAAGTAATGGACTAGAAAGGCATCCAAAAGGATTCACTGAAGGTCAAGTTTGTTATACAAGGTCACTAGCAATTTTGAATAAACTGCCGTGTTACAAAATGTCCAATGATGACATGACAGATATATAAAAAAAAAAGTAGTGTGCAACATTAGATAAAAACAAAGACTCATATCTCTTTGCACAATTTGTTGGACTCAAAACTGTTTCAAAGTATGAGAGAAATAGGTTATAAAACAATTGTACAAACCAACAACTTGGTTACACTGAATGCAGGCAGCAGTTTCTTTTTCTCACCAAAATACAAATTACCCTAATGATATTGACCTGAAATGGGATGATCCCAAAAATGGGAAACTGTAGTTGTGAAAAAGACCGGAGTTAATCGGGACTCAAACACACAACAGCAAAGATCTGATGTGTCTGTGTGCCTGACTGTGTATGTGTGCTGGCAGCACAGAATAAAAAGGGGAAATGAGAGTATTGCTTCCCGTTTGGGAGGTAGGGTGGAGGATCATTAATTTCACACAATTGGTGAGTCAAAAAGAGATTATGGATGATCTTTGTTCAATTTTGCTTGCTGGAGGTCAGAATACTTCACAGGAAGTGATTCAGTGACCAGTGAACCTTGGGGAAATTTGAAGGAAAGAATTACATGGCCATTGTTAAAAAGAATGGCAGGATTAGTTTTATGTTGTCTAAGAACATGCACATTCCAAGGGTCAAATAGCTTCTGTGCTGCAAATTTACTCAGTTGTGTGGTACAGTGTAAATGAGTTGGCAGCATTTCTGTTTAAAATCACAATAAAACAAGCAGTGTTCGCAGTGCAAGTTTGCAACTGCGTAAAATAAAGCCAAAACAATACTTTGAAAATGGGATTCAGAGTGGTGAAGCACAGAAGCTTAATTAAAATTTAAAGGGATACTATGTAAAAATTCAAATCATGAATTGGTTAAAGCAAAAGGAGACTGAAGTCAAAGAAAATTCACAAAACATGGACTTGTTGAAATTAATCACCCGTTTTTGTTCGAAGTGACAAATGGATCATTGCTAACGATTTTTGCAAATACTACAAGCAAACAGATGACATATCCTCCTCACAGTGATGACGTATCAATTTCAACAAATAAAAAGTAACTGAAATAAGTGAACAAAACACATCAGCCAGATAAATAAATTTGATAAGAGGTACGCTGTTTGAAAATGTAATTGCTCTAGGGGAGGCGATGCCTAGTGGGTACTATAACCAGACTGTTAATCCAGAGACGCAGATAACATTCCGGGGACCCGGATTCGAATCCGCCACGGCAGATGATGGAATTTGAATTCAATAAAATATCTGGAATTAAGAATCTAATAATAACCATGAATCCATTGTTGATTGTTGGAAAAACCCACCTGGTTCACTAATGTCCTTTAAGGAAGGAAGCTACCATCCATAGCTGGTCTGGCCTACATGTGACTCCAGACCCACAGCAATGTGGTTGACTCTCAACCGCCCTCTGGGAAATTAGGGATGGGCAATAAAATGTTGCCTAGCCAGCGATGCCCTCATCCCGTTAATGAATAAAGAAAAAAAATGAATACCTCACCTGCTCAAATCCACCAAGTAGCTCTGTTGTGTCCACAGCACTGTTCATTGCCATGACTCTTAAGTTTTGGCCTGTCAGAAGAGCCAAGAGCTGGATGAGGCTGGTTTTCCCACTGGCAACTGGCCCCACTAGAATAACCATCCAGCCCATCTGTGCACACTTCATAATGGACTCCAGTGGCTGAAGTGAATGGTGAAGAATGGACAGCTGCTTGTTTGTCATGGGAATGATGAACCCATTACGAGAAAGTATGGAATAACCAACCTGAAACAAGAAAAAGTACAATAGCAATGGTTACTGTTATGCTCCTACTGCTTGCTCTCGAGGTAACTAATTGAAAAGGCTGAATGAGTTTTTTTTTGTGCAAACTCTGAACACCAGTTTACCCAAAAGTGTACAAAGCAAAGTCACAAACCTGAACCTGCTGTGGTGTGATGTGGAATTTTCTGGACCCAGTGTAGGGATGAGAGTGAATTCCAACATCTTCTAAAGAAAATATTTCTTCAAATATAGAAAACATCTTGCAGAGAAAGAAATAAAAACATTTTAAATAGCCAAATCAATGAGCTGCTTACACACAAAGGCAATTTCAACTGTAATTTTATTCTGAAGTGATTATTATGGCATAAATAAAAGGTGGGTCTTAAATGGAGCTAACGTTTCCGCGTTTCAGTTCGTAAGTGGATTTATGAATCATCAACTCAAATTATGCTCCAGTGGAAAGAACAATTTACCAACTAAGAAAGGACTTGAAATGAATTAATTTAACTTTAACTCTGATGATGCAACTCAGTTACCCCTGGCATAAAACTAATAGATTGATCATCCTGGCTTTCAAGACTGAATGCTCAAAGCACTACCTTAGAGAGCTTGGTGTCTTCAGAAGGTTTGAAATGCAGAAAATAGGAGGAGTAGGCCATTCGGCCCTTCACGCATGCTTCACTGTTCAATATGATTGGGGTTGATCATCCAACTCAGTATCCTGCTCTCGCTCTATTCCCGTATCCTTTGATCTCTTTAGCCCTAATGACTAAGAACTACATCTAACTCATTCTTGAAAGTATTCAATGCTTTGGCCTCAACTGCTACGGCCGTGAATCCCAAAGGCTTATCACTGTCGGATTGAAGAAGTTTCTCCTTATCTCAATCCTGAATGGCCTCACTGTTTTCTCAAACCGAGATCCCTGGTTCTGGACTCCCTGGTTATCAGGAACGTTCTTGAAGAATTACATCGACTGAAGTTTTATGCAGTGATCAAACATTCAAAAATTCTCAAAAATACTTACCTCCGAAAAGATATACAAGTCATATAATGTAGTTACCAACCAAAATGCACAGAATTTTCCACAACATAGATTTACTCTAAGCAGTAACAGGAAATTTTAAAAAAAGACTGTAAATTATTAATCAGAGAAAAGTTCAGTTGACATGCTTACATGGTTTCTGTCTGCATTGGATCGCATTCGGTCCACATATACCAAAGCAACATGTTGCCCTGGATCATAGCATCCAGGCATCTGGTCCACCAACATCAGGTGGCACCACCGAAAGAGATCCCGCAAGTTAAACTCCCACGGTCCTCCTTTCTGTCCCCATTTTCTTTCCACCATTACTTCTTGGTTAATCTTCCAAGAACGGAAAGAACTAAATTAGGAGGTGTTCAGAACTTTTCATCCAATCTTACACTCTGAACAAAAAAACAGCAGATCCTTTACCTTGTAATTAAACTGAACCATTTTGCTTACAATATTTTTACCAATCGCAGGAAACATGGTGTCAGCAATGTACTCCATGTCTTTAACTGAAAGCTGATCCACATAAACCTACAAAATAAAAATCAATATTAGCCTCAAAACAGAACATTACACACTAAACTACTGCCAAGATGCACACAGAAATTGTTCCAGGTATATTTGGCATTACTTTTTGTGTTGGAATTGCTTAAATCTTAAACACATTGGCAAACAACAAAATACTGTTATGCAAGTGTTTTGAAAAGAAGGAAAACTTATTACTTCATGTAAGATGTTGGCAAAGGCTAATCTGGCAGCTCAAGTTCCACTGCAGTATTTAAACTCATTTAGAACCATTACAATGGGGTTCCACAAGGATCAGTGCTGGGACCTCTGTTGTTTGTAATATATGTTAATGATTCACATGAAAATGTAGGTTGCCTGATTAGCAAGTTTATGGATGAAATAACTGCAGAGGCTGGTATCCCACCACCGCATCACCCTTTATTTACATGTGCACAGTATACTGACTGTGGGCCAGCTAGCTCACAGTCAGTCCTTGAAGTGAAGAGATTCTGAATCTCCTGTTTATATCCATCATCCAAGGCTCCCTGATTGAGGCAGGTTAACAACCTCAAATGAAGGATCTGCAAATGAGATCCACTGGATTCCAATCACTACACAAATATTGAAGGCATACGGTGTCCTTGTCTTCATCGGTCAGGCACTGATATAAAAGTTGGCAAGTCATGTTGCCGCTATCTAAGAATTTTGTGAAGTCACATTTGAAGAAATGTATGCAGTCTGGTCTCCATACAATAGGAAGGATATGGGGGCTTTGCAGAATTTGAAAAAGAGATTTACAGTATGTTACCTGGATTGCAGAGTATTAGCTATAAAGACAGGTTCGACAAACTTGTATTGTTTTCCCTATAGCATTAGAGGCTGTGGGGTGACCTGTTCGATGTAAAATTATGAGAGGTAGAAATGTCAAATACAAGGGGGCATAGGTTTAAAGTGAGAGGGGGGAAAGTTTAAAGGAGATGTGCGAGGCAGGTTTTTTTTTTTTTTTTTTTTTTAAGAAAAGCAAGCGAGTATTAGGCACCTGGAATGTGTTGCAAGGGGAGGTGGTAGAAGCAGATAGTAAAGTTTTAAGAGGCATTTAGACAGATACTTGAACACGCAGGAAACAGAAAGATATGGACCACGTGCAGGCCGACAGGGTTAGTTTAGAATGGCATCACAATCAGTGTGGACAAGGTGGGCTAAAGGGCCTGTTCCTGTGCTGTACTGTTCTATGTGGGAAAGAATAAAATCACTGAAGAATCATCTGCTTCAAGGTTTTCAGAGGGTGAAAGTATCAAAATTGCCTCACCCGACATGCAACATAAATGTTCCTTTTCAATCAAAATAAAAGCTCAGCAGCTGAGAATCTACACATCTTTTATTCTTGAGTACTAATGAGGTCAATTTTTAGGCTCCAGTGGAAGACCTCCTGAATTGCACTCGTTTCTTGCCTTACCTGTGTGAATCGATTGAGGAAAGACTTGGGGAGACCCTTCCTTCCACCTCCTTGGTGATACGGATTCTGACAACCAAAGATCTTGGTCCTGTTATGCTCCACAATGAAGCAACGACCCAACTCGGGGATAAAAATCTCAGCACGATGGTCAAAGCAGGAGTTCAGTCCCTCTAGCACAGACTGGGAAGCTAGGTTTAACTGAAAGAATAAGGTCGACAATTGTTGTTGATGTTATTAATGCCATCCAGAGCTTGTTTCTAGATTACTGTTGCTGAAAATAGTGAAATGGCATTGTGGAGTTCAAAATCTGGGCATTAGTATGGATGGGAGACACGTCTCAACAGCACTGAATATATAGCTGTAAGAACCCTCAGATATTTAGTGGTGCCTGTACAAAACAAATGCTCAGAACATTTTGCATAACAAAATTAGAATATGAGCAGCTAAACTGAATGGTCATGTTACATTTCAAAAGACTTGCCATACAAAATGTTAAGAGCTGAAAAACCATTACCAATACAGCCTTATTATTCCTGATGTTATATTCTGTTGATTCTAAAATCGCATGCCCCTTAGACTATGGAATTAAGGAATCACGTTAGACAGGAATGTGAAAATGGGTGGTAAGTAAGATAAGGAAGCTTCCTCCACCTAACAGAATATTGAGCTGCTTGCCATTGCAATCCTCAGACTGACGAGTACAGGAGAGCAGCAAGATGCAGATTTGCATCGAAAGTTCTTCATTCTATTAATTCCTGACCAGTCAGCCCACATTAGCAAGAAATCTTCCACATTTACAACTAGGTGGGGTTAAAAAAAAAACACAAACGATAAAACTAAGTGGATACAATTCGCAGTTGTGGATGTGTGACCAGCTCACAGGAGATCTGTGAACACATCTGTCTAACTGTTTAGTGAAATGATAGCTACAAAGGGGTGGAGAAGAAGGGAAAAGCAGAAGAGTGCAAAAACCCAACATATCAAAGATGTAGGTAAGTCATTAACTCTAGTGACTGTGAATTAACTTCGGCTGTCACCCAGGAGTAGAGGGCAACACCAAAGCCCTCAATGCATTATGGACATCACTGCTATCAATTCCTGTTCCGAAGTGTAAAAAATCCAAAACTCACATCCACAGGAGAAATTATCTATAATGAACATACTTCTGTGCTAAGTTTAAAGTTTTGAAGTTAGTCAAGTCACAATACATGGTGATGAGTTGAATCAAATCATTTCTACAGCACTCACCTCATCTAAGACAATCCAATGTCCAGCCTTGAGGGCTGCAAGCAGAGGGCCATCACGCCAGGCAAATTCACCTCCTTTACCTCCCTCAACAGGCAGGTCTGTCCCAAACAAGTCAGTCACATCCTATAAGAACAGGAGAGAGCCAATAATCATTGCAGATCATAGTTACACCAAAATGAAGAATTAAAACAAAACACAATCTTTGTCATTGACTTTAATTTTATTTGGTGTAGAAATCTCTGGCTGCAAACAAGAGAAAATTGATCTTAATATATCTAACTGTGCAGCACTGAACAGTCACAACTTTATAGATTTTTTAAAAATCAACCTGTCCAGCAATGTTACACCACACCTCTTCAAACAGGTTGCACTCAAACCCAGATCTCCTAGCTCTGAGGTAGAGACACTACTACCATGCCACAAGAACACTCAAGTCACAACTTTATAATAATAACTCCCTAAGCTAGCAATGGCAACTACTGATTTATTGCAATTAAATGGTACACTGGGTACACTAAATGCCATCTAGACATCAATAAAATCTCAATCTGCACTCTCAATCACTTCCAGCCAAATTAAATGCAATATACTACAAGAGATCTGTTCACTTATTTCTTATTTACAAACTGATTGCTGTTTTTCCCATATTTCAATCTTGGCTATACTTAAAGGTCAGTTCATATGACTGTGAAATACTTTAGGATGTCCACAAGTTCTGCAGATATTTTCAAACTAACCTGTTCAGTTTTGATATTACAAAAGGTTGTGTAAGGCATTATACAGATACTAAGTATGGAATTATACAATTTGTTGTAAAAAAAAAGCAGAGAATATTTCTTAAATAGAGTGGGCTTGGGAAGTGCAAGTGGCCAAAAAGATGATGCTTCATTAATGAGTCACAAAGCTATCATGAAGGTACAGCAAGCAATTAGGAAGACAAATGGCATGTGGGCATTCATCACAAAGGGATTTGAGTGCAGGAGCAAATGATGGCTTGCTGCAATTGTTTAGAACCTGGTGAGAACTCACCTGGCATTTTGTGTACAGTTTTGGTCTCCTTACACTTGCAGTAGATATTCTCGAGACTAATCCCTGGGATGACATAATTGTTTAATTTGGAGAGAATACAGACCTAGTTTCACCAGAATTTTGAAGAATGGCAGGTGATCTCATCAATACTTAACATTCTTAGAGTGTGACAGGATGAATATAAATAGGACGTTCCCTCTGGCGGATGATTCTAGAACCAAGAGACATATTCTCAGGATATGGGGCAGACCATTTCAGTCTCATATGAGGAAGAATTTCTTCATTCAAAGGGCAATAGACTTTGGAACTCTACCTCATGAGCACTGTACAAGTTTCAATTTTCGAGCAAGTTCAAGACAGAAATTAATAGGCTTCTAGAGTCGAATGACTAGGGATATGGAAACAGTGTGGGAAACTCACACTGTTGAAATTATCAATCATGATCTAGAATGGCAGGGCAGGCTTGATAGGCCGGTTTATAATTTACTGTAATGTTGGTACATCAAAGTCCTGCTTTGTGAAAAGCTCAAATCATACTCTTCGTATAGTTTCCTTAGAACGCAGTCCATTTTTAAAATAGATTTGAGCGAGGGGAGGGATGAAACAAAGACTTCATTGCGTTATCACACAAACTTACTGTTTGCTCTGAAAGATTGATTCGGACTAGCTGATTTCCAGAGGCCTTTGCCAGAGCTGCTACCAAGCTTGTCTTGCCAACTCCTGGTGATCCCTCTAATAGAATCGGCCTCTTTAACTTCATTGCTCGCAACAGCCTCTGGGCATTCATTGCTGTTGTGCTAGCATTCAGTGCATAGTCTGTGACTGCCGCTTTCTCTCCAACAGCCCCTACTGAAAACATCAATACACGTACAGATTTAAATACGTGCACGGAAGGCTCTTTAAACCCTTTAAATATCAGTCACATTAAAATAACACTCTGCTCTACAGCACACCCACAACCCCCAGAATCTATCAAATGAGGCAATCTGATTAATTTTGCCCAAATGTGAAAATCAAGTCTTGCTGTAGGTAGACTGTAACAGTACAAATAAGCCAGTTTAATTAGGATAAACAAGACAGCTAGGAATTGAAATGAATGCACAGAACAAAAGACAGTTATTTAGAAAAAACACAAGTATTTCAAAGCTGAATGTTAGATTAAACAAACCTCATTTGTGAAAGATTCAATGTTTAGGATAAAAATCAACTCAAGAAATCAACTCAACAGATATCAACCTTGAAGCAATTAGAGGTCACTGCTTTTGATATTAAAATTGCCTTTTCAAAAAAGGGTCTTTGAAGGCAGTGAACTGATTAATTTAGCAATATTTATAAGTTTAATCATAGCTAGGAGGTATAGTTGTGGTACTGTCGACGTGTCTCTACCTCAAGTCCCACCTGCTCAAGAGGTGTATCATAACAGCCTGAACAGGTTACTAGATGAAAACAGAGTCCGTCATATTTGCAGAGGTAGTAGGAACTGCAGCTGCTGGAGAATCTGAGATAACAAGGTGTAGAGCTGGATGAACACAGCAGGCCAAGCAGCATCAGAGGTGCAGGAAGGCTGACGTTTCAGGCCGAGACCCTTCTTCAGAAAAGTGAAGAAGGG